GACGGCCTTCAGCAGTCTAGAGATTGGTAATTCTCTATCGGTAAGAACCACCAATAGGATTACTAAAATTGGTGCCGGGGAGACGTTGACTATACATGGAATAGTAAGACAGTCTAAAAAACTTGACACAGTTGTGGTTGAGACTAGTGCAGATTCTCCTAAGGGAGTGATAGTATGTCCCAGAGTGGTGAAGTTGACCGCAGGCTCAACAGCTAGAGTGGCTGTTAGGGTGTGTAATTTGTTAGCTTATCCTATACAAATACCGCGAGGATCGGAACTTGGTACTTTGAGTGAGGTCAAGGTTGTTGACCACTGGAAACCTGAAGAACATGGTAAGGATATAGCGAGTGATCAAAAAAACAACACCCCAGGTAAGTCTAGTAGTGAAACCTTAGACTTGGAGTCACTAGGGGTTCAGATTGATTCTGATAACTTAACCAGTACCCAGAGATTAAAAGTACAACAGGTATTGGGGAGTTGGAGCTCATTATTTTCCACAAGTCAGATGGACATAGGTTGAGGCTGCACGATGACAGACCCTTTAGACTTCCTTATAGGAAGATACCCCCGGCCATGTATGAAGAGGTAAGGCAGCATCTCAAGGAGATGAAGGAATCTGGTGTAATCGAGGATTCAATGTCTTCATATGCTTCAAACTTAGTGTTGGTAAGAAAGAAAAATGGTCAGTTAAGATTTTGTATAGATTATAGGACTTTAAATTCAAGGACTGTTAAGGACCAGTACACGTTGCCAAGAGTTGATGACACCCTCGATACTCTTGTAGGGTCCAATTTTTTCTCAAAATTGGACTTAAGGTCTGGATACTACCAAGTAGAGATGTGTGATGAGGACAAGGATAAGACAGCTTTCTCTGTTGGTCCTTTAGGATTTTATCAGTTCAGGAGATTACCTTTTGGTCTCTGTAATGCTCCATCGACATTTCAGAGGTTGATGGAGCGATGTATGGGTGACATGTGTCTCCGCGAATGTTTGATATTCTTAGATGATGTCCTGATATTTTCGGAAAATTTTGAGGAGCACATAAAAAGGATTGAGGCAGTTTTTGAGAAACTTAAGTCAAACGGTCTTAAATTGAACCCAACCAAGTGCGAGTTCTTTAAAACCAAGGTTAAGTACCTGGGACATGTGGTAAGTGAGCAGGGAATAGCTACCGATGAGGAGAAAGTAGAGACATTAAAGTCTTGGAAACCATGCGAATCGGTTAAAGAGGTAAGGACTTTCTTGGGTTTTACAGGATACTATCGCAAGTTTGTAAAGGGATATGCATCAATAGCCCGACCTTTAAATGATTTACTCATTGGTCATCCCACTGTGAAAACCAAGTCAAAGAAACCTAAAACTCCATTTGTTTGGTCGGAGGAGTGTAAAAAGGCATTTGAGCTACTCAAGGAGAAGCTGATGAGTCCGCCAATTCTGGCGTATGCCGATTACTCAAAGCCGTTTAAATTAAACACAGATGCGTCATTAGAAGGACTAGGAGCTGTGTTATACCAAAACCAAGAGGGTAAGGACAGGGTGATCGCATATGCCAGCCGTGGTTTGAAACCTAGTGAGAAACTGTATCCAGCTCACAAACTGGAATTTTTGTGTTTAAAATGGGCAGTCACCGATAAGTTTAAAGATTATTTGTATGGTCAGCCAGAGTTTGAGGTGTACACTGATAATAATCCTCTTACATATGTCACAACATCAGCCAGGTTGGACGCAACAGGGCATCGTTGGGTCGCTGAATTGGCAAACTACACATTTAAGCTTATCTATCGCTCTGGCAAGAGCAATGGTGATGCAGATGGGTTGTCACGTAAACCCGGACAAGGTGAGCAATGTGTATTTCCTGAAGTTGTGCGAGCTGTGTGTACAGCAGCCACTGTGCAGAGAGGTCAGTTACCTTTGGCCGAGACTTTAGTATTATGCAGTGCCGCACAGTTACCAGGAGCAGAACATGATCAAGCCTTATCAGGTGAGAGCTTTAGTCAAGTTGACTGGTTAGATGAGCAACAAAATGATGCTACTATACGGCGGGTAGTAGAATTGAAACAGTTGGAGACTAAATTGTCGGGAAACAAGTTAGCCAGAGAACCTATTGCAGTGAAGAAACTGTTAAAGGTCTGGGACCGGTTACAGGTAAGACGAGGGAAACTGGTCCATAGTAAACAATTTGACGGTGAGTATGTATGGCGTATTGTCCTTCCCCATAAGTGGAAGTCTCGGGTGTTGAAAGCTTACCACAATGATCAAGGTCACCAGGGCCGGGATAGAACCATATCTCTGATCCAACCAAGATTTTATTGGTGTGGGATGGAGGAAGATGTGAGTGAACAGGTGAGGAGTTGTGATAGGTGTATCAGAAGAAAAACTGCAGTGACAAATAGGGCAGAGATGGTTGGAATTGTGTCGTCAGAGCCGATGGAGTTGGTTTGTCTTGATTTTCTATCACTGGAGAGTAGCAAGGGAGGCTACGAGCACATTTTAGTGATCACGGATCATTATACCCGTTACGCCCAAGCTATACCTACCAGAAATCAATTAGCCACTACGGTAGCCAGAGTTCTATTTGACAATTTTATTGTCCACTATGGTTTTCCTGCCAGGCTTCACAGCGATCAGGGTAGAAATTTTGAATCAAGGATCATTCAGGAACTATGTAAGGTAGCTGGAACAAGGAAGTCTCGTACTACACCTTTTCACCCTCAGGGGAACGGCATGACCGAGCGATTTAATCAAACACTGTTAAAGATGCTAGGTACATTAGAGGACGAGGAGAAACAGAATTGGAAAGCACACGTACCAGCAATGGTTCATGCATACAACGCAGCAACTCATGTGAGTACAGGTTTTTCCCCATTTTATTTGTTATTTGGGCGACAACCTAGGCTGGCTGGAGATGCCTATTTTGGGTTACATGACCTTGAGTTTCCTCAGTTTCAACCAAAGACGGAATATGTAAGTAAGCTTAAGTCTAGGTTACGTTTTGCTTACCGGACTGCTGAGAGATATGCCAGGAAATCTGCAAAATCCTATAAACATTATTATGATCTTCGGGTAAGGGATTCAGTTCTCAAGGCAGGAGACCGGGTGTTAATAAGAAATGTTAACCTAAGGGGTAAGTGCAAACTTGCTGATAAGTGGGAAAAATTGCCCTACAAGGTTTTGTCCAAACCTCACAAGGACACACCAGTATACAGAGTTCGGCCCGAACAAGGTCCAGGTAGAGTTAGAACCTTGCACAGAAACATGCTGTTACCTTACGCGGGACGGAATGAGGCGGAGCTTCAGGATGGAACTTCGAGTTCTCGAGTGGCTCCAGAGGGACGGCGTAAAGCAGTCACCACTAGGACGGAACCACGGGAAGATAGCATGTCGTCGGGTTCAGGTTCAAGCTCGGAGGAGGAATACCTGTATAGACCAAGACATTCCCATAGAGGTTTGAGATCTATGTTGGAGAATAATATTCCTGACAATTTCGTTGAGAACAGTGAGAACATTGAGGACATTGAGAACAGTGTTAGTCGGGTTTCCCAAGAGGAAACCGGACCGGTTCTGGGAATGCCGGAGATACCAAGGATAAATGAATCCTCTCATAGGGAAATAGAGAGGAAACCGAGTCCCAGGCGCTCGGGTAGGGTGAGAAATCCTCCAGAGAGATATGGTAATTGGCAAATGGGTCAAGTAGTAGAGGGGGATTGGATTTTATGTTAAAATAAATGTAGAGACGGAGTGAGATTTGTAAATAGATGTCTAATATAATTTTCTGAAAGGCTACAAACTGCCATGCCAGTGGTGGTTCTTGTGTTTTTTTCAGATGTAGGAATTGTGTTAGAGTTGGTCCTTATCATCTTTTCAGATGGAGGAATAATTTTAAATAGATTTTAAGATTTGATATGTTTGTCAGACGGATAATAAATTTCTGATTTGATATTTATAGTATCTTTCCATGGAATCGTGTTCAGGGTATATCGTCATGATAAATGATGTGTTCTAAAGTAAACAAATAATTTTGCCCAGAATAATATTTGGCTGATATATATGCTTTTGTTTACAGGTACTAATAGTTGGCTTATAGTTGTTGTCTTTACAGGGTTACAACTAATATGATGCAATAATCTTGCATTAAGGTGCTGACAGCTGAATACAACGATTGAAATATTGTTTATTAATTTGAGACGTCGAGACGACATCATTAAACAGGGGGTGTATGTCGTAGGGTCACATTTAATGTGTGGTACTAGTTACATGGAGTGTCTTTGTTTACAATGTATTGTGCGGGGTTTCCCCGGTGTCTATGTATAACCTGTAAAATGTGACGTAATTGTGTTTACCTGTATTGTACCCGTTTGTCCAGTTTGACCAGGGTGGGTCGATGTGCGTGTCGGTGAGTGAAATTAATGCGCGAATGTGTGGGGTGTCGTATAAAAAGAGTTACTATAGCGGTGGGCGTTGCATTCTAGCCAGAGCGTTTGACACAATCACCTTCGGGGATCAGCGCTACTTGACATGACGAGCCAATATTTCCTACTGCGTGGCAACATGACGGTATCAGGTAAATGATACTTGTAACAGTACTTGTTCTTACAATTTAATACTTTTATCGGTCGAAACGCGTCGAATTCATTATTATAAAGAATAACTAATGGTATCTTGTATTATTTGGTCTATTTGTAATGTTGGCAAATTGTATTTGCAGGGGTTCCTTTGTAGTTCTGAATCCTGTACTATATCTGTACAGTATACGTCGGCCCGGGGAAATGAAATAATAAAATGTATACAGAGAAATGGAGTTTGTGAACTGTTTTCCCTGCGACATATACACTAAATGAACTGAATGTGACATTTTGACAATTTCCTTTTAATTTAAATGGTATTAAAATATTCTAAAAAGGGTAATATAAGCATTGAACTTTGTTGATATGGCGTTCGTAATCTATATGTATAACACAGCTTTGCAGGCAAGCTAATCATGTTTGTTTAGTGTGTCTTACCCGACGACGAGGTGTCAACCAAAGTCGATCGCGAGCAGAACACCTGTCCCAGTTGTCTCTCCGTCAACAGCAGACCAGTTTTGATGTCAACACAGAAACATTTATCTGTGAAAAAAAGTCAAGAGACGTATACATACTTACAAGATAGATATCTAAGTGCGTGGTTTAACAATATTGGTTAATTGTATTCAATATCTAAGTACATTTCCGGAATTGTGCAATGACACCATTTGTAACGTAGCTAGTAACGGAAGGGAAAGCATCTTCTGATTGTAGGTCAAATCCTAGTAATATCATGTTCTCAAAGAGAGAATCGGTGTAGAGGTAACGAAACCAAACCAAAACAAATCACAATTTAGCATTGAACACCGCGATATTCACATCGCAAAAGAAAATGAAATATTTCCCGATTATAACATGATGGCAACTATTGTACTTGCCCATAATCTTTATTAAACTGTATACCCTAAAACCCTATATGTATTAACCATATAAGTTTGTTCGTCAGCATCGCCATCTATCGTGGAAATCGTGGTATTCGGAGCAAGCCCGCAAATATTGAATCGACCGCGAGATATAAACATCGTATATGTAGGAAAAAGGAAATTACTATCAAGAAAGAGAAAATTCACGGTCGGAAAATTGAAATTGATACACTTATCAAACAGGTTAATAGTAAGCTGTCCCTGTTGGTCATGCTGTGAGATCGAGGCAGTAGGCTGGTGTAGAACAGTCTGGAGAGAAAAGTCTGAGCGAACTTGTTGCCATTTAAAATAGTGAAACCGAAGGATTAGTTAGTTTGGTTCAAACACATTGATAAGTGCCGATCGCTTGAAACCTGTTACTAAAACCTTAAGAAATGACATACTTTGATTGTCGCACTGTTGTGGCTCGAAGTTTCCCATTGCGTCACACTTAGCCATCCACTGTCCCTGATAGATTACGAAGGAAATCTGCTGGACTGCTCGCATCTGCTCACAACGAGTCTGTGCATGAACATCCAATGATCGTGAGGAAACTACAACGGAAAAAGAGAGATAATTGCCTGGCTGCAGATATGTTGATAACACAATAGTTCGTGAACGACTGTCAAATTAGAGAGGGAAGATTCACGTGTTTACTATTATACGTTCCTTGACTTTGATTTGGTTTGATTTGTTTGTGCTTAACGTTCTAGTAATAGCTATGGTCCTCAACTTTGCCTCTCTTGGCTTTATAAACTTGACGCCCAAGGCCGCCTTACTTGGTTGTATAAACTTGACGCCCATGGCTACCTTACTTGGTTTTATTACCTTGACGCCCATGGCCACCTCTCTGGGTTTAGACCTGATGTCTATTGACGCATCAATTAGTTTGCTTACCTTATAGCCCATCGTTGTCTTCCCGCGTTTGGTTACGTGACAAAAATGTTAACTGTATTCCATTGTACTTTCCAATATTGGAACGTGTGGTCAATTTGAATGTGACATTTCATTAATCTCTATTCATCAGAAAATACACGATGTATACGCTAAATGAACTGAATGTGACATTTTGACAATTTCCTATTAATTTAAATGATATTAAAATATTCTAAAAAGGGTAATATCAGCATTGAACTTTGTTGATATGGCGTTCGTAATCTATATGTATAACACAGCTTTGCAGGCAAGCTCATCATGTTTGTTCAGTGTGTCTTACCCGACGACCAGGTGTCAACCGAAGTCGATCCCGAGCAGAACACCTGTCCCAGTTGTCTCTCCGTCAACAGCACACCAGTTTTTATGTCAACACAGAAACATTTATCTGTAAAAAAAAACCCCAAAAAACCCAGCTGATTTATAAGAAAAAGATAGTAATATGTTTGACTATATTGCTTAATATTGCTTGTATTCAACAAGTACAGGTTCAAAATTGTGCAATGACACCATTTGTAACGTAGCTAGTAACGGAAGATAAAGCATCTTCTGCTTTCAGGTCAAATCCTAGTAATGTCATGTTCTCAAAGAGAGAACCGATGAAGAGGTAACGTAACTAAACCAAAATAATCAAAATTTAGCATTATTACCCTCGATGTTTATATCGCATAGGAAAGTAAAATATCTCCCGATAATAACTTGATGGCGACCATTGTACTTGCCTATACTCTTTATTAACCTGTATACCTTAAAACCCGTTATGTATTTACCATATCAGTTTGTTCGTCAGCATCGCCATTTATCGTGGAAATCGAGGTATTCGGAGCAAATATTGAATCGACCGCGAGATATAAACATCGTATGTGGAGGAATAAGAGATATAACTTTCAAGAAAGAGAAAATTCACAGTAGGAAATTGAAATTGATACACTTTAATAGTAAGCTGTCCCTGTTGGTCATGTTGTGTGATCGAGGCAAGAGGCTGGTGTAAAACAGTTTGGAGAGGAAATTCTGAGCGATCATGTTGTCATTTAAAAAGGTGAAACCGAAAGATTTGGCAGTTTGTTTCAAACACATTGATAAGTGCCGATCGCTTGAAACCTGTTACTTAAACCTTTAGAAATGACATACTTTGATTGTCGCACTGTTGTGGCTCGAAGTTTCCCATTGCGTCACACTTAGCCATCCACTGTCCCTGATAGATTACGAAGGAAATCTGCTGGACTGCTCGCATCTGCTCACAACGAGTCTGTGCATGAACATCCAATGATCGTGAGGAAACTACAACGGAAAAAGAGAGATAATTGCCTGGCTGCAGATATGTTGATAACACAATAATTCGTGAACGACTGTCAACGTATAGAGGGAAGAATTCACGTGTTTACTATAAAACGTTCCTTGACTTTGATTTGGTTTGGTTTGTTTGTGATTAACGTCCTATAAATAGTTATGGTCCTTGACTTTGACGTCACGACGCCATTGGTCGACGATTACTTTAGCAGTATGACGGAAGCACCCGAACAGTTTCCGATTGGAAGACATTTTCGTGCTACAGAGTTCTTTGTGTTGTGTCTTCATGATTTCGAGTCCTCGGTAGGTTTATCTACAGCCAGTACAGGGGGTATTTATATATGGTAATGTTGAAGTTTGATGCAGCTGTATCGATCAACGGTTAAATATAACGAGATGATATATCGTTTTAAAAATGATAACGTTATATGCACGAAAGTCGCGTTTCAATTTATTTAAAAACGTCTTTTGGATTAGTTAATTGAATTTTTAAAAATGAATTCAGTATCGGTTTGAGATTGAAGATAACTACAATTTCTTTAGGAAGGAATTGTTTAAAAGGATGGGGTGTGGGATCAATTTAAGCACATATACTATGAGTACTACCACATAGAAAAATATACAAACGGGCATAATTTGAATCATATTTAGAAGTTTAAGGAAAGCATATGTACATTATCACAGGGGCATGATCATCAATTATAATATTTGGATGCTTTAGCCTCGTCTGATGTTTGTTAGGTATTGAAAGACAAGGTATATGATCATCATTCGTATGTATGACGTTCCGAATGATCTTACAAACAGTTGTTCTAAGCCCTTAACTCGTCTAATAAAATCACTTTCCTTACACTATAGGCTAGGTGCAGACATACTGATATCAATTCTCAGGCCCTGTGTTCATACTTAGGATATTGCAATCAATAATAAACTTTATTGATTTTACAGCAACTACGAAACATGTTATTTCAACTTATATTAATCACTCTTGTTGGCCCGGGTTTTAGCGCGCGGAGGGTCTTAATGTATAGGAGGAAACCGAAGTACCATAAGAAGTCCGGCAGTTGAACCCATACCTTTTAACTTCCGATCGAGGAAACAAACCCCGGCTGCCTTGGTAAAAGTAGGGAGCGCTATCCACTTCACCACCCGACCATCAATCGTATATATATATATATAAGATGTCTGACGTAATTATTTCCAATGTGAATCTTATATACATATCCATAAATTGTAAATTGCAGTTTATGAGAATAAAAATACCATTGTCGCAGTACATGTACCTTGCTTCTTCTGGCATTGTCCTAAACCCAGCCGGGAGTGTTCCGCGGCTAGATGGACGCATTCAAGTCCGTCGTCACAGCGTCCGGCAGGGATCATTCCGAACATGTTAGTTGCCTGGCACGCCTCGCCCTCCACCTATAAAGATACAACACACTGGAAACTGGATAAACCGGGCACATGTTTTTACGAAAATATTCCCTCATCCACTGATTATTAAAATAAACAAAAACAGAAAGGAATGTAATCAATGGTCAAACCTTACAGGAGATGGGAAAGCGGGAGGGGATGGGGTCTGGGGATGGGACGCGGTGGAGTATATGTATATATTTTACAGAGTGTTGTTCTTCATGAACAAATAATAAAGCTGTTCACGAAAGGCATTGGCAAGTTTGGCAAGCGGGGGTTCCAACAACCTTTTCATTAGACGCCATATTTATTGGAGATTTAGGCGGTATTCCTTACGCCATTGCGAGCTACACAGTGCAACGTGTTAGTAGTATCAAACTTTTTCAGCGACAGGAAAATATTCTATAGCTGTCTCTCCTCAAATTAACTGTAGATATTTCCATGCACCGTTACAGCATTTTAAACCGTGATTTCTCTCTCTCGTTATCTCCCCTTGCACACCGGAATTAGGGATTCCCTAGGTTGACTAGTATTTACAACAAGCCGACTTAACGTTTAAACCAAAAAGAGAAACAGCAAACTTATAAGTGATATCTTGAATCATAAAAGAGATAAATGTTAACATTAAATAATAATATATATATTTTATGTAATAGAGAAATACATAAATATAATAGAGATTTCCTTAAATTTTATTGGACAATTTTTAAATGAATAATATATATTTAAGCACAGACATAGATATATCTAATATAATTCCGTGATTAATTAAAAATTGTTATGAAGATATCTTTAAATGTTATATAAAAGCGTTAAATGAGTAATTTCTCATCATTTAAATTACATAGCATATCTGAATTATATATACATAAATACAGTTGATTTAATTTATGATGAGATATCTCTTAAATTCTTTTAGATGTTAAATGTTAATAGGTGTGCTCTCCACCAGGCTGCTTTTTGACAACCACCATTCCCTACCTTTGCACAGGTGTCAGAACAGCCACAGAATCCGCCATTTTTTATGACGGATCCGGCACAATGGAGGGGTGTGTCCCTATCTATACCCTTACATAACTCTGGGGTACATACTAAAGCCGAGGCGTACCCTACGGTCACTACCAACACCACAAAATGTATCATGCTGAATGAAGACAGAAATGTTCCGTCAGAAATGAAATCGAATTCTGAACCACTGCTTATGTGACTCGGTTTAATAGTCAACGATAAGCATAGGGACAGGACAGGATGATTTAACTGTCGTATGGACTATATATGAAATATATTTATATATTTGATTTCGGCGACAATTATCAGTGTGTCAAGTCCCTGTGCACGTGGTGATAAGAAACCGATCCCTGATAAGGCCGAAATGCAGACAGGTGGTAGGTTGTGAGGTAGGCCAATGACATCACAAAATCATTCCAACTAAGGCTGTAAAGATAAGTTGCAAGTTAGCACGTTTCTTACTTAAATGGAAGAATTTCTAAAAGTCTAGAAGGGATGGGATGGGTGTAAGCATTTATAAGGTTCCCGGTGAGAAATAAAAAGTAACAATATTATATCAAGGAAGGAGAGGAGAGTGAAAAGAAAACGTTTCTCTGGGACTAGGTGACAAGTAGCAAACCACTATTTCATTGGTCATTAGAGGAATGGACCGTTCGATGGTCTCCATTGCTTCGTGGAACTAATTTTCACTTCAAATAGAAAATATCATAATGTAGTGATCAAGTTAATAACACTTGTTAGGAACCATAGGCACTCTCTTACAAAATATATTTTTTCAAACCAAAGAGATACCACGAACAAGTGAACAGGAAGTCAATCATTTACTATATTTGTCCGTTTAAAACATATAATTTTTAGCCGCCTGTTTTGTCTTCTGTCTGTTTCATCAAATCAAAGTTTATTGCAGTATATGGAATACACATTTTGTGAAAGTTCGTTGATGGGTCTCAAATGGACCGATTTTCCCTTTTGGGCCTGTTTTGTTCGGGAGACCGGATTTCGGACGCAAAGATGTCGGTATTACGTTTTACTTCCGTGTGTGTGAAACTGTTACCTTATTAAAATACCCTGGGGGCGTCGATTAGCCTCTTTTCTCCCGAATTAAAATAAATATCGATTCCTATCATTTCGAACGACTATTTGGAACTTCCTGCTCCAGATATGACGGAAAAACTCCAAATTTTTTTAAGAGGTGAACCTGACAAGCGCTCAACGACAAACACATGCTTTGCACGTGCAATTCGTCGCAAACATTCCCATGATTATGAAACATAATGGAAGACCTAAACTTCAGCTTTTCCGTATGCTGACCCGTACGATATGTTTACAAGACTTTTAGTACCATTGCCCTAATACTTAAAACCAAACGGTCACCAAACTATACCCTAAGGAGAGCTACGCCGAAACATATCAAACATACGTCACTGTAATCGTATTTTCTTCTTCACTGACTTTGGTTATCCTTTGCGTTTATCTCCATTTCTTTGGTTATCCTTTGCGTTTATCTCCATTTCTTTGGTTATCCTTTGCGTTTATCTCCATTTCTTTGGTTACTCTTTGCGTTTATCTCCATTTCTTTGGTTATCCTTTGCGTTTATCTCCATTTCTTTGGTTATCAGTTGCATTTATCTCCATTTCTTTGGTTAACCTTTGCGCTTATCTCCATTTCTTTGGTTATCCTTTGCGTTTATTTCTATTTCTTTGGTTATCCTTTGCGTTGATCTCCATTTCTTTGGTTATCAGTTGCATTTATCTCCATGTCTTTGGTTATCCTTTGCGTTGATCTCCATTTCTTTGGTTATCCTATGCGTTTATCTCCATTTCTTATCTCCATTTCTTTGGTTAACCTTTGGGCTTATCTCCATTTCTTTGGTTATCCTTCGCGTTTATCTTCATTTCTTTGGTTATCAGTTGCGTTTCTCTCCATTTCTTTGGTTATCCTTCGCGTTTATCTTCATTTCTTTGGTTATCCTTTGCGCTTATCTACGTTTCTTTGGTTATCCTTTGCGCTTATCTCATTTCTTTGGTTAGCATTTGCGATTATCTCCATTTCTTTGGTTATCCTATGCGTTTATCTCCATTTCTTATCTCCATTTCTTTGGTTAACCTTTTCGCTTATCTCCAGTTCTTTGGTTATCCTTTGCGTTGATCTCCATTTCTTTGGTTATCAGTTGCGTTTCTCTCCATTTCTTTGGTTATCCTTTGCGCTTATCTACGTTTCTTTGGTTATCCTTTGCGCTTATCTACGTTTCTTTGGTTATCCTTTGCGCTTATCTCATTTCTTTGGTTAGCATTTGCGTTTATCTCCATTTCTTGGTTATCCTTTGCGTTTATCTCTATTTCTTTGGTTATCCTTTGCGCTTACCTCCATTTCTTTGGTTAGCATTTGCGATTATCTCCATTTCTTTGGTTATCCTTTGCGCTTATCTACGTTTCTTTGGTTATCCTTTGCGCTTATCTACGTTTCTTTGGTTATCCTTTGCGCTTATCTCCATTTCTTTGGTTAGCATTTGCGTTTATCTCCATTTCTTTGGTTATCAGTTGCGTTTATCTCCATTTCTTTGGTTATCCTTCGCGTTTATCTTCATTTCTTTGGTTACTCTTTGCGTTTATCTCAATTTCTTTGGTTATCCTTTGCGCTTATCTCCATTTCTTTGGTTATCCTTCGCGTTTATCTTCATTTCTTTGGTTACTCTTTGCGTTTATCTCCATTTCTTTGGTTAACCTTTGCCTTTATCTCCATTTCTTTGGTTACTCTTTGCGTTTATCTCCATTTCTTTGGTTATCCTTTGCGTTTATCTCCATTCCTTTGGTTATTCTTTGCGTTTATCTCTATTTCTTTGGTTAGACTTTGCGTTTATCAGCCTTTTTTCGTTAGACTTTGCGTTAATCTCCATTTTTTTGTTAGACTTTGCGTTTATCTCCATTTTTGTTAGGCTTTACGTTTATCTCCATTTCTTTGGTTATCCTTTACGTTTATCTCCATTTCTTCGGTTATCGTATGCGTTTATCTCCATTTCTTTGGTTACTCTTTGCTTTTATCTCCATTTCTTTGGTTATCCTTTGCTTTTATCTCCATTTCTTTGGTTAGACTTTGCGTTTATCTCCATTTCTTTGGTTATCCTTTGCTTTTATCTCCATTTCTTTGGTTATCCTTTGCGTTTATCTCTATTTCTTTGGTTAGACTTTGCGTTTATCACCCTTTTTTTGTTAGACTTTGCGTTAGTCTCCATTTTTTTGTTATCCTTTGCGTTTATCTCCATTTTTGTTAGGCTTTACGTTTATCTCCATTTCTTTGGTTATCCTTTGCGTTTATCTCCATTTCTTCGGTTATCCTATGCGTTTATCTCTATTTCTTCGGTTATCCTATGCGTTTATCTCCATTTCTTTGGTTATCCTTTGCGTGTATCTCCATTTCTTTGGTTATCCTATGCGTTTATCTCCATTTCTTTGGTTATCCTTTGCTTTTATCTCCATTTCTTTGGTTATCCTTTGCTTTTATCTCCATTTCTTTGGTTATCCTTTTCGTTTATCTCCATTTCTTTGGTTATCCTTTGCTTTTATCTCCATTTCTTTGGTTATCCTTTGCTTTTATCTCCATTTCTTTGGTTATCCTTTTCGTTTATCTCCATTTCTTTGGTTATCCTTTGCTTTTATCTCCATTTCTTTGGTTATCCTTTGCTTTTATCTCCATTTCTTTGGTTATCCTTTTCGTTTATCTCCATTTCTTTGGTTATCCTTTGCTTTTATCTCCATTTCTTTGGTTATCCTTTGCTTTTATCTCCATTTCTTTGGTTATCCTTTTCGTTTATCTCCATTTCTTTGGTTAGATTTTGCGTTAATCTCTATTTCTTTGGTAATACTTTGCGTTAATCTCTATTTCTTTGGTTAGACTTTGCGTTGATCTCTATTTCTTTGGTTAGACTTTGCGTTTATCAACTTTTTTTGTTTGACTTTGCGTTTATCTTTTTTTTTTTTTTGTTAGACTTTAAGTTTATCTCCATTTCTTCTGTGATACTTTGCATTTATTTCCATTTCTTTGGTTAGAATTTGCTTTTATCTGCATTTCTTTGGTTAGAATTTGCATATCATGGCATAGCTCCATTTCCGGCAAAACGGTTGGGTTGAGTTTAGCTACTTTAAAATTTAAAATAGTATAAAATATGAATGTAAATTGTAGACAAGTCCTTGTATGTGCAATTGATCGAAAAGGATTAATCGAAATGTATTCAGATTTATTTCTATATCACCACAACATTACGGAGGAAAGTTATTGGCTGTTCCTTCTGTAGACAAACACGACATCTATGTTAGACTTTGCGTTTAGTACACTTACTACTGGAAACCTCAACCTTCGCCAAACTTCATAATTGGAAAGAACTTGAGGAGAGCTACACCAAAAATAAAAAAGGGTCTGTGTGATCTTATTTTTTGCTGCTCTAACATACATTGTATGTTACATTTTGCGTTTAACCCTTTTTATTAGTTTAAACATCGTGGTTATCTTTCTTTCTTTTGTTAGACTTTCAGGAAAGCGGAAGCGTGTAGTTTTTTTATACTTTAAAACACAGAGACCTGTGAATTTGTTACAGTTATATGTGGGCCTTACCAAATATAGCTGTACACAACAAATTCTCAGGCCCCTTTGCTTTAAAATACAAATAATATAATAAGTGAATGTAAACTGTAGTGTAATTACTGCTGCATTAGAGACAATGACCTGAATTAACCTAACAAGGTACACTTACAATGTATTATAGTAGTATAGACAGTACGTCATAGCCGAACACTTTATGTATAGCGGTAGGGGTAATTTCTTTCTTGATACGTTGAATCATTGTCAGTACGGCTCCCATCATCGTTCAGTGGTATACTAGCTTAATATGAGTGTGTTACTCTTAAAATTTGATTAACTACAATGTTGTTTAATAATTCATAAGTTCGTCAGCGTTATCAACAGTAAAAGTAAAACTTTCATCCTATGTTCCCGGAACATCTACAGTAAAACCTTGAAACAATGCACTGTGTTTTATTTGCCATCTTGCTCACCGGTCGCCAACATACCCCTCTTTTATAACGAAACAATTGTGTTAAACAACTGATAGCAAAATAAAGACCTTCACTCACATCAAATTAGTTCGCCTAATTGCGCGACGTTTTATTTTTACATTGTCGGTGGTGTGCAAAGTGT